GGGGTCAAGATAATTTCCAGGGGTCGCCAACTGGTAGATAAACACACATATTGTGGCAAGCAGTGCAGAATGAGAAACTGGAAGCAGCCCTCACTGCTTTCATCCCTTTAATTACATTCAACACAGGGGACAAGAACTCAGCACACTCAACTCAACACAGTATACTACAGGCTATATCAGTGGTTCCCAACCTGTGGGTCTGGACCCCCACAAAGGGTCGCCAAAGCTTCACAGGAGGTCGCGAGGCCTTATTGATATTTTTATTACAGTAATTTTCATACAAATTAGAGTGTGCTGGAAATGTTTACTTTTTGCGTACTGCCAATATTTGTATCAGCTCATTCTCTTATTCGTGACTTTGGCTTTACCGCTTTCAGAAAACTGGCAGGAAGCAACCACATTCCCGCTATCTCACATCACTGCAAAAACACTACTACAAACATCAAATCGCCAAAACATCACTGATCCAGAAATAGACTCAGACATCACACTTTTTGCATTTCATCTTAGAAAAAAAAATCATTTTCCGTTCAAATCTAGTTAAGAGCTTAGCTGCAGATCACACAAACATGATGGAGCCCCTGTGAGGTCACAGAAAAATCTCATAAGTCAGCTGATCAGATAACAGCCTTCGTCATGTAACGTTCATCTCGACACATTTAGCTAAAGTGCAGACGGATCAGCCGTTACTACCGCTGCTGCTGCATTAATAGCATGATCCTGTGTTAAATAAGAGATTTGTAAACCGAAATAACACTGCATATAATTCTCAGTGTTTTTCATCCACACTTTATACGCTCATTCATAAATAGATAAGCAGTTTGGACTCACATATGCACTCACAGCGCTCAGCTCGCATGACCACACAACTAACAGACATCCTGCTCCTCCTACTCCATCCTACTCTCTCTTTTCTTTCCCCCACCTTCTGTTTCTATTCAAAGTCCTTGATTCATGTTTTTCTTTGTCACACTCTTACAAGCTCGTGCAGAAGCGCTTTATTCTCCTGCTTTGAGTCACGAGCCCTGGAGGTGGTGTGACGTCAGCAGGTTCATGAGGACAGCGGTTGGTCCTGACAGTGGTCAACGCAGAGCCAAGAGTTTCATCAGGTCTCCCTGAGTCCCACTGATGCTTCATCCAGTAAGACCTCAGCCGTAAAGATGCTACAGAGCAGCCACTGCTGAAACGGAGCAGGATTATAAAACCCGACACTCAAAATCCTAAAATAATGATATTGGTTCTAGAGCTGCAACAAACGATTATTTTCAGTGTTGATTCATCTGTTTACTGTTTTTGCAATTAATCGATTTATTTTACATTTCATACAATGTCAGCTCAAGGTTAAGTCTTCAAACATCCTGTTCGGTCAGACCAGCAACTTCAAAGATTTTCAAATTACTATCATGTATGATTATAAACTATTACTACTGTAAATATGAGCAAATCCTCACATTGGAGAATCTGAAGCCAGAGAATGTTTGACATTTTTAAGTGATACAGAACTTAAAATGAAATATAAACTTATAATCAGTCACTCTAAAAAATTAGTTGGAACAAGTACATACAAGTACGAGTCATCAATTTAAAAACTTATTAAGTAAGAAAATACGAAACGCTAATTCCACTAACTCCACTAAATGTAACTGTAGTACATTTGTTGAAGATAATTTCATCAGAAGATGCCATAACTCAAAAAGATTGATTCAAACTGTAAGTTATGTGAAGAATTTCAAATCATAAAAAAATGAATTTTGATTTGATTAAAACATATATACACATACTGAGTCAGATATAAAACCTGAATGTGCATAAAAACGAGTTAAAAAGCGAGCAGAGAGGCCCACACTGTACCAAAGTAATAAATACATCATTAAAATAGTGATCTAAAATTATTGTAATTGGTGAAACAGTAAAAAAGTAATGCTTTTTTACAACAAATGCAAACTTAACTCAACCAACCTAAACATTGACAGTTTAAACATCTCATCTAGACATGTATTAAGACATATATGGAGATAGTCTGCTTGCAACAATATATGCAAGCAATATAATTTCCATATTAGAATCTTTTACAAAAAATGCATCTATCCCTTAAAATCTGATTTTCAGTGAGCAAACACTTTCACTTTTCACTTCCACTTTCAGAAGATGAATGTGAAAACATCCTTCTAGTGTTAATCTCTGCACATACATAATTCTGCACAGTGAAGCTCAAACACCCAAGTAGAGAGGGATTTATTATTGCAACAACCTGGAGTAATGGATTAATTGACCAATCATTTCATCCCTACCTGGTTCTGCTGCCATTTTACTTTTAATCTTGTGTGAAAATACATGACAGGACAAGTTTTTTAAATGCACAGACATCAAAAAGGTCTTGAGACTGCCCTCACCACAAACAGAACTGATCTTAATTTACATTGTCTATAGACCTCTTGCAGACGTGCAAATAATGACTCAGAGAAATTGTTAATTTACTGAGATGACAGATGTTTATGTGTAGGAACTAAGACAGAAGTACTGTAGTGTTAAAGCGTTAAAGAGGCCTTAACTAACCTTAACAAAGCCATTTTAGTGGCCTAACCATAACCAGACCTTTACCCCAGATATGGCACATCAAAAAACACTCATATGACGATTTGAAGGGGGCTGACAATTAATTTTGTCACTTGGGTCTGAGAACTTTTTGAAGAAAAAAGGGACATTCACATGCACACCCAGAGGTGGAAAAACAGTAAATTTGTCTCTTTGAAATACATCGTTTTGTTCAATCATCTGGAGACCAAAGTCAATATTATTCTCAATGATTCCTCTCACACAGTTTCCAGCATGAACATTGGTATCATTGGTTGCTTACCATTGTTTCTGTTTGTCCACGGCCTTTAGAACGACACGTTTAGAGGCGTTTTCTGATTCGACATACCTATCAGCAGGACATCATCTGTCAGCTGCTTTGTTGCTTATCACTGTAAATCAAGTAAATTCATTGTATGATATAAAAACCCTGGTTAAAGCTGCAGTTGGTAACATATATAATAACTTTTTGTCATTATTGCTCAAATGTTCACTGTATTCTGGCAGTAGTACATGAGACAGATAATCAGTTGGTTTCTGAGGTTCGTTCTAGTTCTCCTAATGTTACTGCAAGAATCTGCCGGGCCTTAACGAAAACAACCAATCAGAGCCGATAGAGATATAAAGACGCTTTGGGCTGGAAGATTGAAGGTAGTTGATTGTTGAGTATCATTCCAGGAGTCCCACAGAGATGACCTGGGAATGAGACTCAGCAATCAACTACCTATCTTTACTCTGATTGGTTGTTTTCGTTCAGGCCCGGTGGATTCTTTATGTCATTAGGAGCGTTAGGAGGAGCCAGACGAACCAGATTTTTTCACAGATTATCTGTCTCATGTACGACTGTCAGGATTAGTGAACGTTTCAGCAAATAATAATAAAACATATTTTTTTTACAAAAATGACTACTGCAGCTTTAAGGCTTATTTAGGTTTAGGCACCTAAAGACAGTGATTTGGGTTTAAATTACTTCTTGCTAAGGTTAGGAGACCATCGGTTAGAATCATAAATGTGGTTAAGGTTGGGGAATGATTGTAGTCTGTTGGTTTGAAACCAGAACGGAACAGCAGTAACACCATTACATGACTTCCTTCTTTCCTTTTCCTGGCTGCCAGTGGGCTTTTTCACCTGAACGTAAACATATGTCATCTTTGGCCACTTGCAGACTCCATTGTTTATGTGGTGCTAGAATATGCTCTCTGTGTATGTTTAAAAGATGATTCAACACAAAATGTGCCATCTGGAGTGGTTATCGTGATGCCTGTGAGGGTATAGGGATCATTAGAAACACCCTCTCGAACATAAGAGCTCTTAATGAAAATGTATTGTCCACATTACTGCAAAAATGCCTTGGCATCGAGATGCTAAAACAACAAATGCTCAGTCAAGCTGTTCTAAACAGGCTTCCAGATGACTGGAGTCAACCCTGCTCGTGTCCCTCCTTCAGGACCATATACTCTCATTCTGAGCTACGTGCTTTTTACAATATGGTGGAAGATTTTATGTCTGTATCAGTCACCAAGCAATGAAAGTAAAGAATTTAAGCAATGCCAGGAGCAGAAGGCTGGATGAGTATTTAGCGCTGCAGCCTTGTGTACTGTACTGCAATTTTCACATGTGTTCTGCATGTACTGACACAACACAGGCCAACAAACACACACAAACACACACTGCTGGGTGGTATACATCAATGCAAGTGTCCTCACACAGCTGGGAGTGACAACATCTTGGTCAGTACACGATCGAGCGTCTTGGCTCGACTCTGAGAGAATGAATGCCGCTCACACACAGCTAATCCACTGTCCTGACAGTAATGGGAGGCAACACTTAAGCATGTTTGGCCAGCGTCCAACATGCCTTTCACACACACACAAACACACACATTTCCCAGACTCACACCGTCACACAGATGCAACCACAAACCAACCGTCATATAATCACATATCAGGAGCGAGCAGAGGGTGTGGTCAGACAGAAACTTATATCATCTCCAATATGGAGGGAAACTACTGATGTTGACAGCTGACACACTCCTGCACACTGTCACACTGTCACTACACCCCCTCCTCAACCCCTGTATACCCACTCCCTCACTGCTTCACAGCAAAGCACAGGCAGATGTTTATTTCTCTCCTCTGTCTCTCTGTTCTTACTTCCTCATATCTGTAGAGCATAATACCGGCCCTCCATCCGTCCCTCCCTCCCTCCCTCCTCCCGCTTTCACTCTCCTCCATCTCTCTGCATCACTCTGCAGTGCTACGCTGCTCTGCTCTCCCCACATACAGCCTGTCGTCAGCTGGCAGACGGAGGAAGAAAAGGAAAGCACACACCGGATAGCAGAGCATCCACGATGCCTCGTATTCACACTGGAAGCAGAAAGGCGTTAGACACACAAATGTGGACAGAAATGAGCAGGATCTTCTCACCTTCTCTTCTCTCTGTATCTCCTCTCTCTCTCTCTCTCTCTCTCCCTCTCTCTCACACACACACAGTGTCTGTGTCCCTCCTGACTGCAGCCACACTGTTTCTCTCGCTCTGATTCCTCCTCCTCCTCCTTCCTTCTTCCTCCTCCTCCTCTGGCTGCTGCTCTCACAAACCTGCTGCCGCTGAGTGTCCGCCTCTTCCCCTCTCTTTCTCTGCCTCCCTCAGCCCCTCCCCTAACCACCCTCCTCCCTTTACAGCCCTGATACTCTCTCTTTTCCACAGCAGCAGTGGATGAAGAATGCTACAGAAAGCTTGAGATTTTTTGTTTTGTTTTTTGCCTATGAGAGGCTTTATGTGTTGTTATTATTAAAATCAAGTCGCAGGTGATTTTCTGAAAAATAAATCTGTGACTATCTTTTGGAAATCTAGAGAGTCAGGTCTGAAGATATTTCCAGAATCCACAAAGCAGAGTTGGGGTGCTGAGAGAAAGTCTGTCTATATAATGACGTCATACTAAATGCATCTATGCATTCATTTGACCCGCCAAGATAATTTATAGCCTATCAAAGAGTTACCAACAACATTTTACACAAATATTAGAACTTTTAGCAGATAAATACCAGTGTACACATAAATCCCAGCAAGAAAAGGGAAAGTCTTGAACCCCCCTCAGCACCCCTACTTCCAGTGCCCATGCTACAAAGACTGCATGAAAAAAATGAACACATGCACAATAATTAAATAAATAATAATAAATAAATGTTCTTACTTGTTTCCCAAGTTGTAATTTTCCAACAAAGAATGTAGCCTGATCTGACATCTCTCCTTGCTAAGAAAAATATGAACACAGTGTTATGAAGGAAAATATACTAATTGTGTATACCTAGTTAGCTAAGTAATGCAGTCTAATACAACAATCCTACTCATATGAAGTTATAGTTATAGTTATAATATAATTTCAGCCAATAAGACCATTAATTATACATTTTTGTATTTTAAAAATAAGGTCATAACCTGTATTTTATGCACACCTGAGGGTAAGAAAAAGCTGAGATGTAGTGATCAAAGATGGACGATTTAATATTTATAGCTCAGTTTTAACCAAATCTAACCAAACTATTGTTGTTAACAGTTCTGACTCTTCAAATGTTTAACACATTTATTTTGCCAGTAAAGAAAATCAAAAAACTTCACAAACAGGTTTTGTATCAACTACTAAACATTTAGCACAAGAATTCAAAATAAACTATTAATTATTATGTACCGATCATTAATCGTCATCCCTAGTGTTGATTCAACTTTATGATCATTGGGATGATTACAGAAACCCTAACCCTAACCCTAGTCCAACAGCAGCACAGACTACATCCTCCAAACCGACCCCACAGTTCAACACCTCTCACATTATAACCTTTATGAATAGGACTTATCGCAGGACTGCTGTATTATACTGCGTTGGTTTTAATGAGGAGTTAAGCCTAATAAACTGGCAACTTAGAGTAAACAACAATAAAAATAACATTAAAGGTGCACTAATCATTATTCTTATATTAACAGTGGATCAAATGACTGTGTGTAATATGCAGGGGTTCACTCGTAGGGATAAGTCGCCCGATTCCTTCATCCCTTATGGGCGTTTTAGCATCTTTTAGCTGTTTTCCACCTTGTAGCACTGTTGTGTTATTCATTTTTCAGCTGCAGCATGAATCTATTTTTCTCTGAATCTTTTCAAGCTCTCATAAACCCATTGTACACTGCCTACCCAGCACCAAAGAACAGACACACAAAGTTAGCTGATAGTTAGAAAGTGAAAGTGCTCGTGGCTCTTGCTGGTAAAGTGATAGATAATAAATCTCAGGAGTTGATGGAGGCCAAAACACAGCTACAAAGAGAGTGAATATTGGACTAAAAATTAATACTGACTTTTGCAATCAATACAGCTTTTATTTATTATGAAAGAAAATTCTGTATACAGCTTTAAAATTTTGTTTGTGCAGATCGATGAAGCAGATACTCTTCTGGTTAAGGTCTTTGTTTGGATTAGGGAAAAGTGTTGGAAGCTTGAAAAACTGGTTTTTTTATCTAAATGGTTAAATGTTGGAACGATCTTTCCGGTTTTCCAAAGATCTGGAGGGGGTTTTACCTTTCAGAAAAACAGATTGTTAGCTCTGTAACTCAAATGTGATGATAGCTGGGGCACAACCTGGGACTAAAAGATGCTGTAGATATTGTTACTGCTGTATCTTCTCTTTTCCCCTTTTATTTTGGCCTGATTCTACTCTAGCATGTTGTGGTGGCTAATTGGATCTGATAGGCTGCCTCTGAGAGAGTTCCCCTCCCCCTCCTCCCTGAGCCTGGCAGGACTGAAGCTGAGGTTGTGGCAGCCCACCTCAGCTCTGGAGCGGCTGATCGCTCTCTTTGTCTGCCTGCATGTAGCTCACACAGCGGACACACAGCATCTTAATGATGGGTTAACCCCCCTCTACACACACACACACACACACACACGCACACACACCCCTCGACCTCACCCCTTCATTCACATGGTAATTGTGGGTGTTTCCAGTCTGTCTTCATGCCTGGGTGCTCCCCCTTGTCTTCGTGTCAGGACCGCCAAGGACTTCAGGATACAAAGAAGTGAACACATGAGATTTCATTCAGTTAAGGTGAACTCAAGGTGATCCATGTGTTGTTCTTCATACTGATATGTGTGCACATAGAGTCAAGTCAAAGGTGAAATAGGAAAGTAAATAAATATAACATGAACATGTGTTATGATGCTTATTGTTTAAAGTGTGTAAGAAAATATTTGAATGATAAAAGTTAAGTTAATAGTAAAAAAGTGCCTTGGGAAAAATTAACCATATTCTCTTATTGCTTAAAAATATATATTTTTACATGAAAGCATCAATTGCATCCTGTTTCCTGAAGCTAAAATGAAAACAAACCTTAAAGGTCCAGTGTGTAACATTAAGGAGGATCTACTGGCAGAAATTGAATAAAATATTCATATGTATGTTTTCATTAGTATGAGAATAAGAACTATTTTTATCTACAGAGGGCGGGGGTGCGCTCCTGTGGAGAATTTTTCACATGTTTTGTGGCCACTGTAGTTTCTCTGACACACTTGGAAGGGAGAACTGTGTTCAGTGTATCACAATCTGCAACTTCACCGCTCCTTAAGCTGCAGATTGTAACTAACACTGTTGGTGTCTGTAATTGACGACCTCTGAATGATAACTGTGTGAAGTGTGTAGGAGAAACTATGGTGGCCACGAAATGCAAAAGGACATCTGTTCTGGGCTACTGTAGAGACGTGGAGGACTCCATGGAAGGCAACCAGCGGTGTCTGTAGATAGAAACGGCTCATTATAAGGTTACAAAAACACAATAACAATAATGAAAACATACCTCTAAATATTATATTCTATTTCTGCCCATATATCTTACTAAATGTCACACACTGGACCTTTAAGCAAATAAACTAAGAAAGCTTTACTGGAGCTTTTAGAGATTATTATCCACATCCCTGTAAGAGAAACTTTTTAAACAAAAAAACCCCTGAGTCCTGACCCGTTACAGCCAGTGCAGTGACAGCGGCGCTCTCTGGATGTCAGCCGGACAGAGCGAGCATCTACGATCCAAACATCGCCATTAATTACAGCAGAGGTCGTTACGGGTCTCTGGCCAAATTGATTCAGAGGCATCTGCTAACCTCCTCCTCTGGGGAGCAGGGGAGGCCGGCCTGATGTCCACAGTGAGAGTGGAGCAGAAGGCCCGAGCTGGCGTCTGACCCCACAAATAGGTCATAAACTGGGTCTGTGTGTGTTCGGTCAGCTCCAGTGGGACCACATGGACGGAGCTGAAGTCAGATAATAGGGCACATGCTGGGGATTCTGTGAGCCATTATTGTGTACTGAGTGCAGATGTGTTGTACCACAGAATGACACTGCATCACAGAATGATGAAGCCAAGTATTTACTTACTATTAAAAGTGCAGCAGCAGCCAGACATGGCCTTCAGTGAAATAAGTTTGCCTCATTAATTTTGTTTCATCTCAGTCCCTATGGCATCTCTTCTTTTATTCATCCTGTAAGCACAACGACAAAGCAGAAATGACTGAAATCTAATTACTTTGTGCTACAAAAAGAATTCCAATAATATTTTTTCCTGCACACTCTGTATTGTGCTTATATCACAGTCTCTGGACATTCATTTTGTAAAGGAAAAAAAATGAGGACAGAGCAAAGAACGCATACTTTACTGGGAAACTGCAATGAATCATCTCTCTGCAATGCTGTCGGGATGTCATGTACCAGCCCCTGTGTATAAAATCCTTTTTATTTTTTTAACAGAGCATGAAGCATTTTGTTCTCTATAGAAAGTGCAACAGGCAAAATGAGCCCAAACGTTTCCTCATGGTGAGCAAAACGCCAAAACAAAAACAAAACTACAGTTGCTATTAGACATCATTGTCTATAGGACTGATAAGATAATAGGCTTTTAGAGGATGTAATGAACACTGTAAAGAAATTTTTTTTTCTGACCTTGGATGGTAATTTATCATCCTTGTTGGAGAAGCTGTTTTATTACTATACATTTATTAACAATGACGGCTAATTAGTGCATCAGCAGCCGTCTTACAGGAAGAGAATTCTCCACAAGCAAGAAGTCTCCACCTGCTCTCTCATGATGTGTACAATAAGTGTCGGGAAGTATATGTCAGCTTAAGCTTAATAATTAAAATTGCCTCAATGGATGTATCCGTCTACAGCGTTTTAGTGTACATTTGTTAGTTATAAATATTAAGTAAGGTTAAGATTAAGTGCTGCAGTCAGATATACGCTCCCTGCAGATATCCTGACAGTAGTACACGAGACAGATAATCTGTGAAAAAAAATCAGGTTTCTCTGACTCGCTCTAGCGTTCCTAATGGTACTTGCAAAAATCAAACAGGCCTCAACAATCAGAGCCGATTACTGAGTTGATTATTGAATCTCTTTCCCAGGGCGTCAAATACAGATGTTTTGGGACTCTGGGAATTAGACTCAACAATCAACTACCTTCAAGCTTCCAACACAAAGCATCTTTATATCTTTCTCTCTGTTTTCATTCAGGCCCGGTGGATTTCATGAAAATGAAAATTGACTCTATTGACAGTGT